AATAAAGCTTCCTTAAAAATACAGAGTCTTTTACTTGTGTTTATGTCAGCATAGGAGCATCCCAGTTACACTAAAGACTGCACACACTTCTTCCAGCACCCCATACTACTTCTGAAAAGACCTGTCTGGGAATTACATTTTCTGTTCCAATTAAACTCTTCCATTTCTACCTTTGTTAAAACTTGACACATTTGAAAGGCTTCGTTTTCTATAGAGTGGAAAACTTTCAAAAACACTTGAGCAGAATGCCAGCAAGCTGGTGAAATAGCCCAAGATCCCAGGTGCCATGAGAGCCTGCCAATGCCTACCTATGTGCTGAGGTGACAGAAAAGCACATCAGTCTTTAATGGACTCAAAACGCTCCTGCAGAACATTTCGGTTCTATTTAATTAGGGTTCTGCATCCAAAAAAGCCTTCCAGTGAAAGAGTTTTAACTCACACCAGTCAAAATCTGTATCATCAACAATATTCTTTAGGAAATTAGATATATTAATTTATCCCATCATGATAGAGTTGGGAATTGGTCTTGAGCATTTTACCCCACCTCATCTCTTCAACTGAAAGAGTTCTTCCCCTTTCCAAAACTGTATTTTCAGATATTTTACATTCCCTGCTCAGGTGCTATTTTCAAGTGCTCTGTACACAGGAGCACAGATTCAAGTAGCAAATTCTTGCTCAAAACCAAAAGTTAGGTTTTCAATAGCTATGGTACCAGAATAATAGTATGTATAGCTGAAGAGACAAGATTAAAAAGTAAATGTAATAATTGTTTTCTGATTCTACCTAGATACTCCTCCAAAACACAACTGACTTCTTGCTTAGTACCAGTCACATAAAATACTGGGAAAGCCAAAGTAGTCTAACTGGAGACATGACAGCAAACCATATGATTAATCCCCCAGTGGATAAGCTAGCAACTGTGGCTGAAACTGGACAAGCTCAGAAAAATTCATTCATAAATATCTCACTGAGCTCTCAGCAGTTAATCTTGCATTTTAGCTTGGTTTTTGCAAATTCATATGCAAGGTATAAACTTCATCAAAAACATACCTCAATCCATAGATAAAGAAAATTCAAATTTTTACATCCATATTGTGTTGCTCTTAATATTAAAACTCATATTAATTTTTTATATTTTTTTTTTTATTTTTTTACTCCTTGCTATGCTATAACTGAATCACAGAAATCATTACTATTTAATTTTTCCAGGTTTTCTAATCAGAGCATTTAAGTAATAATTATTACTATGTGATTTCAGACTTAAGTGTATTGATACAACCTGCAAAATTGGAACTGCAGAAGAAAAGAGGTAACAAGCTATCAGGGTGAGCAGAGCCTTCTGGCCTGAACTCACCACCAAAGACAACACAAAACAGTTTGGGTTGGAAGGGACTTTTAGGCTCACCTAGTTCCAAGCCCCCTGCATGGGCAGGGACACCTCCCATTGGATTGGTTGCTCCAAGCCCCATTCAACCTGCCCTTAAACGCTTCCAGGGATGGTGCAGCCACAACTTCTATGGGCAGCCTGTTCCAGTGTCTCACCACCCTCATGATAAAAAATTTCTTCCATATGTCCACCCTAGCCTTACCTTCTTTCAGTTTAAAATGGTTGGCCCATGTTGTGACACTACAGGCCTCAGTAACAAGACTCTGTCCATCTTTCTTGGAAGTCCCCTTTATGTACTGAAAGGCTGCAATAAGTTCTCTGCCTATTAAGGGTAGAGACATGGCTTCTCGATGAAGACATTAATTCTTGGTATAACTCACTGCATGTCTTACAAAAAAAATAAAATAAATCAGATAAATTTGACTTATAAAATGGGCACTGCGTATCACCAAATTTGCAAAACAAGCAGGCTTGAATATCCAGAACCCTGAAATTTTCCTTGTGTACACTGCCCAAGCAGCCCTCAGCCTTAAGTTAATTTACAAATATATTCCCACATTCAGATACTTAAGAAGAGCTAGTGACTCGGCAATGCTGGACACAATTAATAACAAAAAGTGTTCAGTAACCAATGTTTCATTTGAGTTGCTTCCTTTGTTCTGGTGACAACACAAACAGGCATGCATTCCAATCCTGCCTCACTCTCACATACACCTCATTCTCTTTACTATCGAGAAAGTATGGAAGGTTTATTCATCCGTGCCCCAATTTGCAGGAATACATTTGAATAATCTTACTGTATTGTGAATAGCTTATGGTTTCAGTAAGATCTGTCAGCACTGTTTGTGTGTAAAGAACAGATGTTTACTGTCTGAAGGAGGTGACAGGCAGCTGAATATCCTACACAGAGCAGGCACCAAGCCTATAGGCAAGGTGCTGAAGAGGGGAAGCCACTTATACAATAAGAAAATAGGTTTAACAACTTCCAGAAACACTTGAACAAATACAAGCACTTCCGAGGTTCTCCCTAACTAAAAACCCACAAGTTTAACTTCTATGAGTCAAGCTGTCAGCAATGTAAAATTAGTTCAGCTATTAATGAAAAAACAATAAATACACAATAATGAGGAAATGACCTAATGGACCAAGGCAGATTGACTTAATTTGTTATTAATTAACTGCCCTTAGGAGAAACTGTAGAGGGAATGGCCAATCACCAGGATAACCATTAACAAAATACTTTCCCCTCAATGAATGAGATTTAAATTTGTTAGGTGCTCCAGAAAGAATTTTAAAAGGAAAAAGAAAAAGATACTGTTCTCTGCATGCTAGCAAGATCTCTGGTACATGTCACTGACGATAAATTAAATTAAAGCCCACGTGCAGAAGCATTTAATCAAGAAGAACAAGCAAACAAAGTGAAACACTATTGGCCTTGTTTTGCTCTTGTTGTGGCCTTTATACTAAAACTGTTCTTAGCAACTTCTTTTTTATAATTATATTAATTACCACATTCTAGGGGGGAAAATAGCCCTGAATAGCAATTACAGCTTCTCCAAGGGTAACAGAAATGTTACTAAATAAAGAACAGCACTATGTAGAGTTCCATGCCTAGGAGGATCTGCATCATCTACAACTTCTCTTTGTTATTAAAAGTCTTCTGTAATAAAAATTCTTATTTCTTTTAAAGTGCATTTATACATGCAACAATGGCAAAGATGCAGCAGTAATGCACTAGTTTTTTTCCTCTTCATCTATTTTGGTCTTCTGTTTAAAAAACAGTTTCTAAAATTAATATGAGAATATTTTCACTCCTGTTCCTCTACTACCAACAAAAGTTTGCTGATGGCCAGACCACTCATCATGCTGACCCACATATCTTGCCACTGTCTAATCCGCAAGTTCATGGCCTCTTCTTTCCAGCCCACTTGTCATTCTCAACAAATTTCCTCTATAAACATTTCTTCTTCACCACCTTGGCCATCCAGGATTGCTTCCCTCTTCCACCTCAATTCTAACTTCCTCACCTCCCACTCCTTGCTCTCTGAAAAGAGATCTTTCCTGGAAACAATTTTGTTACATTTCTTCAGTCAGGCAGAATATTGTCCAACTTTTTGCCTTGATGCAGTAAAGGATGAAATAAGGACTGGGACATCTGTGTATCTCTTGGACACCAATGAGGAAATTTGGCACAGAAAACTTTCCAAATTAATGCCGATGCACTAAGTTCATTTCCTATTTCCTTCAAAAAAGAAAATATAAAAAGTGATTTTCAAAAGAGCAATTTGTACAAGAGACTATTCTCAGAGGCTCAAACTAGCCCTTTCCTGTTTTATTTCAGACAAATACCCAAACATTTTATTGACATTAGGTCTCTTCAATCAACTCCTCTAATTTCGACCACTGGAGCTTATTAATAAACAAAGGCAATAACTCCTACCCCAAGATGCAAAAAACGCACTCATCTGATTTGCCTAATGTTCAGTTGCTACATCTCCACTGTGCAGGCTTCCACTAAACAAAACAGGATTTGTAAGAGGCAGGAGAACCAGATGTGCACCCACCCAGAAAAAGATGGCCTGTTGTGACATTTTGAGACCACTCTTGGAACACCCTACTTGTAATATCCAAATATGAGCTTCTTCGAGTTTGCAACACTATGTTACATTAGTAGCCCAAATAAGGTGCAAATATTAGGAAGAGATACTTTAGAAAATACTGACACAGTCACAAACTAAAAAAATTCAGCAG